GATGATGGTATCAGTTTGTGTCCCAGGATGCAAACGGGGAACCCTGAACTGTAATCTTTGAAGTCTCACCCCCGGAGCAGAAGTGATGCCTGGGATCTTTTCCCAATTGGGTCTCCGGATGGGCTGTGACATAGGACTTCCCAAAACTGTTTGAGTCTGAATGTTGGTCAAAATCCAATTTGGTGATGTTTCCTCTGCTGTTTCTATTTCTCTTCTCTTTTAATGTTAGTATATTGAAAGTAAGCTAGATAATTCTCTAATAAATATTCATTCCACTTCAGTTCTGGGGAAGGAAATGGCAACCCACTCCAGTATCCTTGCCTGGAAAACCTCGTGGACAGAGGAGCCTGGTGGGCTGCAGTCTATAGGGTTGCAAAGAGTTGGGCACAACTGAGTGACTAACACTATTTACTCACTTATTCAGTTCAGTTTAGTCGCTCAGTCATGTCTGACTCTTTGCCGCCCCATGGACTGCAGCCCACCAGGCTTCCCTGTCCATCACCCACTCCCGGAGCTTGCTCAAACTCATGTCCATCGAGTTGGTGATGCCATCCAACCATCTCATCCTCTGTTGCCCTCTTCTCTTACCCTCAACCTTTCCCAGTATCAGGGTCTTTTTCAGTGAGTCAGCTCTTCCCATCAGGTGGTCAAAGTATTGGAGCTTCATCTTCAGCATCAGTCCTTCCGATGAATATTCAGGGTTGATTTCCTTTAGGATGGACTGGTTGAATCTCCTTGCTGTCCAAGGGACTCTCAAGAGTCTTCAATTGGTAGTATTCATTTGTATACAATGAGTGGCTTATTTTCTTAACAAATCCTTTGAACATGAGACGAGGGTGAAAATTTTTGGCAAAAAATTAACTTGGGGAAAGTGACAACTTTCGGCAAAACACAGTTCAGTCCCAGGTCCCGGAAAGATCCCACGTGCTTCGGGACAACTAAGCCCAAGCACCACGAGTACTGACCGTGTACACCTGGAGCCTGTGCTGCAAAACAAGAGACGCCTGCGTGCTGCAGATAGAGCAGTCCCCCTCGCCGCGATTGGAGAAAGCCCACGCAGCAACAAACACCCAGGGCAGTCAAAAATAAATAAATAAATAAATCTTAAAAAAACCCCGCCTGTTTCCTCAGTTGCAAGATGAGGATGATAATAGTGCCTGTTCCATAGGGTTGGTGCCAGGGGTAAATAAGAAAAGAAGTATAAGTTTCAGGAGATTGTGCTTCCCTCACAGCTCAGTTGGTAAAGAATCTGCCTGCAATGCAGGAGACCCCGGTTCGATTCCTGGGTCAGGAAGATCCCCTGGAGAAGGGATAGGATATCCACTCCAGTGTTTTTGGGCTTCCCTGGTGGCTCAGCTGGTAAAGAATCCACCTGCAATGTGGAAGACCTGGGTTCGCTCCCTGGGTTGGGAAGATCCCCTGGAGAAGGGAAAGGCTACCCACTCCAGTATTCTGGCCTGGAGAATTCCATGGACTAAATAGTCCATGGGGTTACAAAGAGTTGGACATGACTGAGCGACTTTCACTTTTCACGAGATTATCTACCTAAAGTGCTGAGGACATTACAATCCTTTAACAAACGTTAGCGATGTTTCTGTTGTTAGTTCTGATAGTCTGTGGACTCCACCTGGTCACTACTTGTGAGGCTCAGCCATTTCCAGCACTAAAACCACTTTATTATGAAATTCGGGCCTCAGCTTCTCACCCCTACAATCTGTAGTGCAAGCCCACCCCAAGATACAGACATTTCTATCAGATTTTAAGTAGCCTGGCATTTGGGGGTGCTCTTTTCTTCTGAGTAGGTACCCCAGTATGGGATAACGATGAGACTTAGCTTTAGTGTGGTTGTGAAACAGGAAGGAAGTGGGCAGGGCACAACATTTAAAAGAATGACAGTCATTGAGGATATGACAAAAACTGGTTAGAAGCAATTAGGTTCCAGATAGCAGAAGATTCAACTTTCAGTAGACCTTGAACCTCAGTATATGTTCACTGTAATACATCCGCATGCTAAATGACACACCCACAGACACCATGATGGTTCTCTAGGTCAACCATAAAAGGCCAAAAAGTGACCAGCGGCCCACTTCCTAGAAATCCCCACTCCTTCCCCCCAAAATTGAAATAATCCTCCCACTCATTAGCCTATGAAATTACCCAATCCATAAAAACTAACCACCCCCTATTTCAGGGCCTCTCGCCTTCTGAGATGGCCTACACTCTGTCTGTTGAGTATGTTTCTCTCAGGACTGATCTTGTTTTTTGAGGTGGACCGCATTCTGTCTATGGAATGTATTCTTGTTGTTCAGTCGCTCAGTCATGTCTGACTCTTTGGGACTCCATGGACTGCAGCACGCCAGGCTTCCCTGTCCTTTACTATCTCCTGGAGTTTGCTCAAACTCATGTCCATTGAGTCTTGTCCTCTGTCGTCCCCTTCTCCTCTTGCCTTCACTCTTTCCCAGCATTAAGGTCTTTTCCAATGAGTCAGCTCTTCGCATCAGATGGCCAAAGTATGGAATGTGTATCTCTTTAAATATATCCACTTCTTACCTATCACTTTGCCTCTTGCTGTATTCCTTCTAAGCTGAAACATAAAGAACCTGGGCTTCATTAAGTCCTGAGACCAGGTGTGCAATCTTAATTAAATGACAGTGGGTTTTGGCTGGGTTTGAGTCCCATCTTTGTTGTGAGGTTTCAGTTGCAGAGAGTGGATGGAGCAGGGGAGGACCCCAGAATGGCCATGGCATGTTCCAGATTCCTGATGTTGCCACTGTAAATACTTGTTTCCTTAAATATTAAGTTACACAAAAAGCATCAGCTACTGCAGAAGAAAAAGCCACTGCGAAAGACTGAAAAGCCAGAAGCATCATTGAAATACAAATAGACATTAAGATGTTCACACACACACACACACACACACACACACACACACACACACACACATAAAGATCAATATGTGAGATGATGGATGTGTTAATTACCTAGCTGGGGGAATCCTTTCACAGTGTCTATAAATAGCTAATTATCATGATATACAATTTAGAGTTTCAGTTTCAGTACCTTTCATGTCTACCCCAGGAATTTTTGTTTGAATAAAAATTCTGTTGGGATCACTACAAAGGTTCGCCACAGTAGAAATAATGAAATCATAAGTCCATGCAAATCTTAAAAATCAGGATTCAGGATTCCAAATATCCATATATTTATCCACAGAGCTGAATTATTCACTCCAAAATTCCACGCTATTAAAAATCACAGACCGGTTTCCCTGGTGGTCCAGTGGTTTGGAGTCCACCTGTCAGGGCAGGGAACACTGGTTTGATCCCTCATCTGGGAAGATCCCACACGCTGGGGAGCAACTAAGCCCGTGAGCCTGTGCTCTGGAGCCCAGGAGCCCCAACTACTGAGCCATGCCTAGAGCCTGTGCTCGGCAACAAGAGAAGCCACTGCAATGAGAAGCCCAAGCACCACAACTACAGGGTAGCCCCCTCTCACCACAACTAGAGAAAGCCGTGCACAGTAACAGAGGCTCAGCATGGTCAAAAATAAATACAAATAAAATTAAAAAAATCACACAGAAAGAACTTTTGATAAAAACAAACAGGAAAAAAGCAGCAAAGGCAGATTGGGTGGTACGTTAACTTTATTTTGAATTATAACATGGAATTTATCATCAAACAAATGGATGTAATGAAGAACTTTAGGGGTTCAACTAAGCAAATGATGTGCATAGGAATCACTGCTCCTAAATCTGAAAATGCAGAGCTCACTGAATTGTGAATTAGACTAACATAAAATAAGAATCATCTACCTGTGTGCAAAACAAATGCAATTTAACTTTATAAAAAAAGTTTTCAAATGCAATTTAAGGAACTGAACTTTTGTTCAGTCTTTGGTAAGGGATTAATACAGTCAGCTTCCCTACTCTGGACAATATCATCTCATCTCATTCAGACCAAATGTGAGCCTTTTAAGCTAGAGATCCCTTGCCTACAGTTAAGAAAGCCTCTGTTAAATACTGTTAAAGCTACTGAATTCATTTTTTATGCCCCTAGTATTGATCAAGAACATTATCCGTTTAAAAGGATCTAACAAATAGGCCAAGGACAATGTGCTCTAGTGGAAAACACTGTCTGTGATTTCATCCCATTTTGTCTTTGGGGACTTTGCTATCAGTACCCATTATACTATTTTGATTTATATCAGAGATGAGCAACTTTAAAATTTTTTTTGGCTGGGGAAAACATAAAACATTTCAGCACATTATTTTCCTTTTCAAAATGAACATTAGCTTTATGAAATTCCCATGAAAAAAGATGTAATTGTACAACTTTGCTGAATAAAAGAAAGTCAATGAAGAAACTGGCACTGCTTTTAACTATTAAGATGTTTATATCTGGATGTTTTAGTAATACAGACAGAGCTTTCTAATTTTTTTGTCCCGAAATTAGATTGCAGGCTCATTGCTTGGCTGGTTAGGTTGCAGGCATCTCTGGGGGCTCTGTGGGTTGCTCATTACTGGCTTTGCTGTGATATGGATTAAAATAAGCTGATTTTTTGATGACTGTTTTATTGATCATAACAAACTTTAAAAGAATCTCTTCTAATGTCAAAGTTATTAATTCATTACTGACTTAGAGATAATGCTTTTAGTACTACTGCAAATTGGTTAAATATATAAATTTATATGTATATATATTAGGTTTAGAACATTTCCCTCCATTTTAATATGTTTTCACATAGAACACTGGCTGGAAACCACAGCGGACATGAACAAGAAAACTAAAGATGTGTTTAAACAACCGAAATGCCATCTGTGTTTATTACAGCAGGTTATAGAAAGAAGATTTAATTTTTATGTATGCAATTAGGCACCGACTGAGGCGTTTAGACACCACTGATTTTAAAAAGTGCATTGAATATGAATTCTGACCCCCCTCAAAGGAATAAAACCTAGGTTTCTTTCCTGGAATCAATCAGGTCAAGAACATGCACAGATGAACACTTATTAACTACTAGTAACAGTCTTTTATTACTTATACTCCTTCAATAGTAACAGTTAATACAGTGTACTTACATACATCACACTATATCCAAGGACTCCAAAGTCATTGTATCAAGCAACATGGTGTTGGAAACAAGATTCCACAGCATGTCAAGTCTACTTAGTTATGGCACAGGAAGTAAATTCCCAGCAATAGACCCAGAGTGACAGCTCAAAGAGATAAGCCTACATTTCTTGTGGCTTGTGATTTTCTGAATTTCCAAATTTGCCACTTGTATCCTACCATATCAACACTGACTCCAGGTAGAAATGACCTTTACATATGAGGAATAAGATGAGGACTAAATGAACAATTTGCCTTTTTTTATAATTCCATAGTCCATCTTTGAAAAGCACATGGTGGAAGGTCAGAAGTGGCTTTTTAATAATATAACTTCACCCATTATTGATTCATAATAACCATGGCCAGGAGCCTTGGGTGGATGAGAGTATTTTATACTGGAACGACATACACATTCATGTAAAATATGATAGAACCATATTTTTGAGCTCACATATACTTAACACAAAAGCAAAAGAGCATCAATTAATTGAAGGTCAGACTTTCAGTCTTTTTAAAGGAACACAGCTTCCTGTTTCTGTTTCTAAGAGGGTTTAACTCTGTCTTAAGAGTTTAACTTAAGACCCAAGTTGATGTAGTTTCAAACGAGTTTCTGTGGAATCCCCAAACGAACGTCCCAGGCCCCCTGGAGTGGGGCTGGAGGCCAGAGCTAGAAGCCCACTACATTGGGAGGGTCCCTGAGCGGCTCTGCTCTCCACTCGGGACACACAACACAGCTCTTCTTGGTCAGGGACCCAGGGTGGGCGTTCTGGGCATTTTCTTTCTTACAGGAATTTCCAGCACTATCTGAAAAGCAATTTATTTTTGGACGTTATGATTAAGGTTTCAATCTTTCAGTCAAATATGGGACTGAGTTAGCTCTTCCTGTGTCCTTCTTTACTTCGGAGGAGACGCAGTATGTGTTCATTTTTGGTTAGTTCTGCTGGAAGTTCATTGGCCTGAAAGAAAATAAAAGACGCATGAGGGAATTCTCAACCACAGTTGGTGTGGTTTTAGGGACTCTGAAGAGGGTCCCCTCACCCAGACCTGCTCCTCCACTGATGAAAAACCCCACTGGACTTAGTCTTTTGTATCAAGGTTTTAAAGGTTTGTTTTTTTTTTAATATACTTAAATGTACATATCACCAGTTACTTTCTTACCTCATTGTTAGTACTTTTTCTTTCTTTTTAAAACAATTTTTGGAGTAGAGTTGATTTACATTGTGTTAGTTTCAGGTGTAGAGTGATTCAGACATGTGTGGGTATATATACAGATATGTGTGTGTGTATATATATGTGTTCTTTTTCATATTCTTTTCCATTATGGTTTACTATAAGATACTAAATATAGTTCCCTGTGCTATACAGTAGGATCTGACTGTTTATCTATTTTATATTTAGTAGTTTGTATCTGCTAATCAATCCCAAACTTCTCATTTATTCCTCCCCCACTTCCCTCTTTGGTAACCAGAAGTTTCTTTTCTATATCTGTGAGTCTGTTTCTGTTTTTTAATAAGTTCTTGCATATTATATTTTATTTTATTTTTTTAAGATTCATGCATTATTTTTGGCTGCACTGTGCCTTCGTTGCTGCGTGGGGGCTTCCTCTCCTTGCAGCAAGCGCAGGCTACTCTCTAGTTGTGGTGGGGGGGCTTCTCACTGCAGAGGCATCTCTTGTCGCAGAGCATGGGTGCTAGGCATGCGGGCTTCAGTAGTTGCGGCGGGAGATTCGTTGTTGGATGAGAAGGCAGAGTCAGGAGATAGCCAGTATGTAAGACACACGGGAAAGAGCAGCTTCAGAATCCCCCATGCCCTGCCCGATCCAGCCTCACACTACATCCTCTTTTCACAGTGCTGCTGAGACGCATTCTTCAAGCATTTATTCTGTGAGCAAGTCTCTAGTCCAAGAAACAGACATGACAAGGCAATGGTTCTCAAACTTTTCAGTCTCAGGGATTTTGTACACTCTTTTGAAAATTATTGAGGACCCTAAAGAGCTTTTGTTTTTAACTTATTAAAAGTGAAAACTGAAAAAAATTATGTTTATTAATTCATTGAAAATAGTAAGCCTATTAAGGTTAACATAAATTGTACAGTTTTTGAAAAAGAACTAAATTTTCAAAAACAAAAAAGAAGAGTAGCACTGTTAACAGTTTTGCATATTTTATTACTATGTAGCTTAAAAGAAGACAATTAGATTCTCATATCTGCTTCTGCATCCAATCTACCTCTATATTTTGTTTTAGCTGAAGTACAGGGAAAAAATTTAGCTTCATACAGACTGGTAGTTGGAATAGAGAGAAACATTTTAACAGCCTTTTTGGATCATAGTAGGTATTTTTCTTTGATGCTTCAACAATACAGGACAAGTGGCTGTTTCTTAGATTAACTGCTGTGTGCAATCTGGAACCACATCAATGAATTTTTCTACTCTGTTGCATTAAAATCCATAGGTCTATCTATCCGCAAGTGGATTTTTTTTTTTTAAACCTATGCTTGATTTGTAACATCCCGTACTAGTCATTTAGAAAATACCAATAAAACTGGAATTTTTATAAAATAACTTACAACATGGAAAATAACTTACAGAGGTTTGTAAAATTATTTTCAGCCACAGTGTGTGACTCTGCTTTGATGTGTACTAAGATGCCAATGGTTTCTTCCACCATTGTCTTTGCACCATTAGAGCAAATGGCTGTGTGTACTAAGTCACTTCAGTCATGTCCAACTCTGTGTGACCCCATGGCCTGTAGCCCTCTAGGCTCCTCTGTCCATGGGACTCTCCAGGCAAGGATACTGGAGTGGGTTGCCATGCCCTCCTTCAGGGGATCTTCCTGACCCAGAGATGGAACTGGTGTCTCTTATGTCTAACCTGCATTGGCAGGCAGGTTGTTTTTTTTTTTGTTTGTTTTTTTGTTTTTTTTTTTTACCACTAGCGCCACCTGGGAAGCCCAGTAAATGGCAGCACAGGGAAAAGGGCAAATGGTGCCTCTGTATCTTTATTATTTTATTGTGATTTTTAGAAACTTCCCTGACCAGGGATCGAATCCATGCCCCCTGAAGTGACAACGTGGAGTCTTAACACTGGACCACCAGGAAAGTCCATCTCTGTATTATCAAGAATATTGTTTTGACCTATTAGAACCTTTGAAAGGGTTTGGAGGACACCCCAACTGTCCATGGACCACACTTTGAGAACAGTTGTTACAGATGAATAAAAGGATGTTCTTGGGAACTCAGGGGAGGCAATTCAAGTGCAGAAACCTACTCAAACTGGGGAGAGAACTCAGAGGTAGATTTTTTTCCCCTGCAGTTAAACCTGGAACCCCAGTTCTTCATCTGAAACCTGGATCTCAGGTGAAGTTCCTGCAGTCCCCACTTTCTAGACTGGATCCTGCTCCCTGACCCCACTTGCTGGGAATGATGAATTTGAAACAGTGGTCCTGCTGTGTGCCTCGTCCTGCAGCTACACTCCTGCCCACCCACAGGACCGCTGATGCTGGTGCCAGGCTGGCAGATGGGAGTCGCTGTGCGATGCTGCCTTAGGCCAGGGCCCCGCTGTGGGGTCAGTTCTACTATTAGCTTGGTTCCTGCAGGAGCAGACTTTGTATGGGCTTAATGCCTGGGCCTGAGAAAAATGCTCACAGAGAATGGACCTGTGTGCCATCCAGTCTTTGAGTGAACCTCAGAACTAACTGTTTTGCATCAATTGTTGGTCCTTGATTGATAGGCTGGCAGGTAGCCAGGGGAGTCCTCCACAGTCAGGAAGAGGAATAGATCTAAGAAGCTGCATCTCTGTCTATAAGCTTGTTAAGTGGTAATGTATATGTCTGTCTCCATCAATGTCTGTATCCTTTACCATTAAAATAAGCCTTATACTCTCAAAGTTTCGGCCAATCGCATCACTGTTCTGTGCGTCATCCATACAGTTTTAAAAACCCGGTCTCATTCCTTCTCTCCCCCAGTGGGTCCCCACTGAATTCTCAGGTTGCTGAGGTGGTGCCAACCACTACGATGGCTAGCACCCAGGCTGCCCCTAAAGTCCATCTTATTCATGACAGTACAGGACCACAGGTCATGAATATGGATTCATGACCCACAGCATCACACCACTCTGTCCCCACAGCTCTTGGGAGAAGCTGTGTGCTGAGTCCCCAGTTGGGGTACCAGGAACACAGGATCCCTGCACCCATGGAAAAGGCCACGGTGCAAGGGGAGGGGCTACTGGGGCCACTGGTCACCCTTTCCTTGGGCGTCTGCCCCAGGGCAGAAGTCCTGGAGCCTAGAGAGCAAATGGGTGCTTCTGTGCTAGCTGAGAAGTGACTCTCTCCCTGGGAAGGCTTTGCACTTCCTGCTGACAGCCCTTGTCACTCCGTATTGCAATTTTTTTTTTCCCTTGCAATTGCTTAATTATCCTTATTCCCCAGTAAACTGTGAGCCCTATGAAGTCAGACACTATGTGAATCTCTTTCACCAGTATCTCTCCATTGATAAGGTTCACAGCGCAGTGCATGCTATCTGTGCGTGCTAAGTCGCTTCAGTCATGTTGGACTCTTTGTGACCCCATTCTGTAGCCCAGAAGGCTCTGTCCTGGGATTCTCCAGGCAAGAATACTGGACTGGGTTACCATGCCCTCCTCCAGGGGATCTTCCTGATCTAGGGATCAAACCCGCTTCTCTAACGTCTCCTGCATTGGCAGGCAAGTTCTTTACCACTAGCATATCTAGCAGGCACTACTAAGAGTTTGTTGGATTAATGAATGAAGGTCAAGAATACATCCCCAAGAGTCCTGCGTGGCTGCTGGAATCCCAGCACTCTTGCTTCTGGAGTTGCCTCTAAAGAGCCTGGCTTTTCCAGGCTGCCTGGCTTACAGCTTTAGGAAGGGTCCAAAGTCCAGCATTTCAGTCACTGGAAATTCCCCATAACCATTATTGATGAGATTCCAGGAGACACAGGAAGAACTGCATCTTTCAGTTTCTATATAAAGATACTAAAGTTTCCCCCATGATTTAACTCAATACAGGATGGCTTAGCCATGAAGACATCTTAGGACGTCTGTGTCCAAGATGCAAAGATAAGGGAGCAATTGTGGTTTTGTGGGCTCATGATACAATCAGGTCAGCTAATGGAAAACAAATCCATGTATTTCAGGAAGAGATAAGCAGCAACATTGTCTTCAAGCACTTCAATGATAGGAACAGGGGAAATAGTAATTCCACCTGCTAAGTGGAATGAGAAAAAAAGAGGCTCTTGGCATATTATTTAACTGCCCTGCAAGATGGTTTCTTTTAAAAACACCACGGGATGTTACATGGTTTTGATTTTATTGTTAATAAAATCCTTCACAGTAATGGGCTTCCCTGGTGGCTCAGATGGTAAAGAATCTGCGTGCAATGTGGGAGACCTGGGTTCAATCCCCGGGTTGGGAAGATCCCCTGGAGGAGGAAATGGCAACCCACTCCAGTATTCTTGCCTGGAGAATCCCAAGGACAGAGGAGCCTGGAGGGCTACAGTTCATAGGATTTCAAAGAGTTGGACACGACTGAGCAACTAACACACAACACAGCAACAGATGCTTATTAAATTCAAGCAGTATATAAGTATAAAGTGAAAACTGCTTTTATATCCTCCCCTGTTAATAAGCACCCATCCTACTTTCTCCTTCAAAAGTCAGTAGTTTAGTTGTTTTCTCCAGACCTTTTCCAGGCTACCGTTCTGCCCCCAGTCTCTGTATCTGACTGCTTAGGCAGCTGTTGAGTAGGAGGGAGTACAATGATAACCTTTTTTCCCCCTGCCACGGTTACTGTGCATCCTCCCACCTCCAAGTTTGACTTAATAGAAAACTAAAATTATTTGGGGGCTATAAAAATATGGGTTAATTTTGCTCAACCATATGTCAATAAAAAAATCTGGGTTGGCTTTATAGCTGTGGTCAAAGTCCTGTTAACAATATAAAAGCAACATTTTCCCCTTGACGTAACCAAATAGAGCACGGGCAAGTCTCAAGATATGAGTATCCAACTCATAGAGGACGGTTATTAAACTACCAGAATTTTGACATTTTCAGGACACTTTTCTGATGATAGAACACTTATAACCTTACTCCCCCCCACCACTGCCCCCTACCTCCTGCCCCACTGTTACTTAAAAATCACTGATGATATAGGGGTTTTAGACCTCTGGGTTCAAAGGGCTTCCCCAGTGGCTCAGATGGTAAAGAATCTGCCTGCAGTGAGGGAGAGCTGGGTTCGATCCCTGGGGTGGAAAGATACCCTGGAGGAGGGCATGGCAGCTCACCCTAGTATTCTTGCCTGGAGAATTCCATGAACATAGGAGCCTGGCAGGCTACAGTCATGGGCCATATAGAGTTGGACACAACTGAAGTGACTGAGCACGCATGCCTGCTGGGTTCAAATATACTGCTCACTCATAACCTATAATGAGAACATTTTATGTTCCTACTACGCCCAAGAGAATTCCCTGGTAGTTTAGTCGGTAAAGAATTTGCCTGCAGTGCAGGAGACCTGGGTTCTATCCCTGGGTTCTATCCCCTGGAAGAGGAAATGGCAACCCACTCCAATATTCTTGCATGGAGAATCCCATAGAGAGAGGGGCCTGGCGGGCTACAGTTCATGGGGTCGCAAGAGTCAGACATGACTTAGCAACTAAACCAACCACCACTATGCCCAAGAATGAAGTTAGTGACTGGAGCCAGAGAGATGCTGTCTTGGCTTCTGCAGATGTGATCTTATCTCTTTTCACAGGTGCCCAATGGAGGGAAAAGATGACTAAGACGGTACCTTGTTTCTCAGGGCTGGGTCCGCCCCTGCTTCCAGGAGCAGGGCGACTGTCTTAATATTCCCGCTGAGCACCGCCGCGTGGAGCGCCGAAGTCCCATTCTAGGAGAAAAGGACAGCATGTGTCAGGTGACAGCTCACAGCTGTCCGCACTCAGCTTGGCTTTCCTCATGAACCAGCCTGACTGGGGATACTGTAACGCTAGAGCCTTTCTCGTCCTTATCTTCCTTTTTCAAAGTCACTCACTTCAGCGTCTAATACAGTGTCCTCAGGAACACTGCAGACAGTCAGTATAAATACTGCCAACATCCTTTTGCAAGTACAATAAGGGATCTGCCCAGTGTGTCCATGACTTCATGCTCACTTGGTCTGCTGTAGATGCATTACAACTTGCTATGGGAAAAACAACAACGCTCCATCAAACTTTTTTTTTTCTTAAGAGTCATTGTGCTTTATGTGAACACACTTCTGCGAGGCTGGAGGTATTATAGCTTGCTCACCTACGCGCCAACTTGTCAGCCCAGCTGCTCTCACTCCACATGCACAGGGGGGCAGGACAACGACGATGGAACCACAGGGCTTAAGAGTAAAAGTAGGTGGGGTTGAGGACCACTCCCTGCATTCAGCTCCGAGCTGAAGCATCTCTGGGTACAGAGGGGACCTAGTGAATAGGTTGCTGACATTTTATGACATTTACTGCAAACATTTATTGACATAAGGAAGCAGCTCTGTGCAGCATGTAGCTGGATTCTGGGAGGGGAGAAAAGAATATAACAAACCTGATAGAAGAACAATGGACAATTATAAAATATCTGTTCTAGAAGGTACATATGTCTGTGAACAGCACCTAAATATAAGCTTAGTTTTCAAATTAATCATTGTATATAGATATTGGGTTGGTCAAAACATTCCTTTGGTTTTTTTCTGTAAGATGGTTCTAGTAGCGCTCAGTTGCCTTTAACTTCATTCTAAACAATTTTGTTAGATTACATTCTGACAGCTGTTGTAACAGTGTTGTATCATTAAAAAGAAAAACTTGCTAAAATTGGTGAATTTTTGTGTAGCCACTTTAATATTGAAGATGGAAGGAAACACGTTATAATATTAATAAAATATTAATATTATACTTTATTACTGTATATGTACACATAAAACTTTCTGATTTTGTAGACAAGTTAAATGAATATCATACCCAGAGAAAAATTCCGGCAAGGCAGCAGTTTTCCATGTCTGCTATACCATGATTACAATGCATGGCAATACGTTAATCTGATAATATGACATTCACTTAAATCTTAACCAATCTATCAATGTTCCCTATGCGCAACATGGCTAAGAATGAAAAAAGCGAAGAAAGAGGTGTCTGAAACAAGATTAGATATCACAAAGACCATTTCTGCAGCTTGTTTCTTTTATTCACAGAGAATTCACTTTCACAGCCTATTTATTCTTACTTTCCAAACAGTTTTTACAAAGTATAGTTTTTTGACTTCCAAGCTCATGGGAGATCAGAATTAGCTCCTTGGGGTGAGACAGGCCAGCACTGAAAAGAGGAGCTCTGTATCAGCTGAAATCAACCTTGGAGCCTGAATATATAAGGTCAGACACAAGGCATCCAAAAAGCCTCTGGGGTCATCTAAGGCCAAGTACTTCAGATACATCAATAAATCCTCAAAGTGCTAAACGACTGTCCTTCGTTTACAACAGGTTCTGGTGTCATCTTTCTAACAAAACAGGAGCGTGTACACCAGGAATCAGCAAACCACAGCACTCAGGCCAAATTTAGTCTCTTTCACCGGCGTCCCACCCCCCACGCCCACCTGTTTTTCTACATCTTGATTAGCCCAGAATTTAAAAAAATTTAAAAAGAAGACTTTTTTGTGACATGTGAAAATATGGAAGTTCAGAAATACAGGACTTCCCTGGTGGTCTAGTGGTTAAGAATCTGCCGGCCAATGCAGGGGACACGGGTTCGATCCCTGGTCTGGGCAGATTCCACCTGCTGCAGAGCAACTAAGCTTATGCACCACAGCTGCTGAGCCTGTGCTCTGGAGCCTGGGAGCCACGATTATTGAGCCCAGGTGTCCACAGCCCGTGCTCCCCAGCAAGAGAAGCCACTGCGAGAAGCATGTGCACCACAACTAGAGAAACACCACACACACAGCAACAAAGACCCAGCACAGCCAGAAATAAATAACCTAAATAAATAATTTTTAAAAAGAAATAGAATATCCAGCAGTGAAGTCTGAGAAGACGCAGCAACACTTTTTTGCTGCTGTTGCATTTTCTACGGTTGCTTGCTCTGTATGACCACTGAGTGAAGCCGCTCCAACACAGACTGTACAGCCCACCAAGCCTAACGTATTTGCCATCTGGTCCTTTACTGAAAAAGGCTGCCAATCTCTGGTAGATCCTCCAGTTTAGAAATATTTTAACTCAAAATGATTACAACTTAATAAAGGATTTTGAGGGCTCTGTTTTCTGGAAGACCCAGCCCTCCAGGATGACACGGTCTCTGAGGTGTGCAGATGCTTGAAGCTTATTTCATTCGACCTAGGCTAACAGTGTGGTTCTTTGATCCAGGCAATTAAGAGAAAAAAATGTACCTGTCCTTCATGTTTTCTGGGATACAAATCATGTCATGATTTGTGGAGGACTTCACCAATCTTCCAATGATATATTAATATTAATATGGTTGACTCTCTGATTTAACATTTCATTACTGTTGTCTGATTTTTTCCCCCTAGAAAACTAGTTACCTATAGACTCTGGTTCACCCTTTTTATTACCTTTCCATTTCTACCAGTGCCCAGGAATCTCCAAAATTAAGAAATTGTAGGTATGTTCTGCAGCGGCCACAGGACTGGAAAAGGTCAGTTTTCATTCCAACCCCAAAGAAAGGCAATGCCAAAGAATGCTCAAACTACCGCACAATTGCACTCATCTCACACTCTAGTAAAGTAATGCTCAAAATTCTCCAAGCCAGGCTTCAGCAGTAC